CGCCCCAGCCACCGGCGGGAGGACGGATGTCTTTAAACTGCCCCGGGTAGTTAAATACTGTTAAACCGTATTTATAAAGCGTTGGTCCCAGTCGGCTGGGCCCGAGACTTGGGGATGGTCAGAGGGCTGGGCTTGGGCAGCCTCCAGGCGTGGGTGTCGCGGGCTTGGCCTTCGGGTCTGCCGCCGCGGTGTCGTTGCCGGTAGGAATATTCCCCGGGCAGTGAAGGCCTGAAGTCTGTCAAAAAAGGCGTTTTGTCTCGGGAATAAAGTTAACAAAAGGGGAAGCTGTTGTGTCTGGAACAGTTGTTTCAAAGCTCTGTTCTATGGCTATGATCCTTCGTCTCTTCCTTTGCGGCTACAGTGTATTTAGTGTTTGCCCTAAGTAAAAGTAACTAATCAAAGCAGATTTCTAGGTACTGCTTGTCTACTTGTTTTTTCTGGCATTGTCTGTAATGAGTGGCGAAGGGCATGATTTTTGTATGTATTCCCACTCAGTTGTTTGCATAAAAGAAGTATTTCTGAATACAGAGCAAAACTCATGTATATAACGATCAGAAATGGAGCAGAGCAGAAACTACTCCCATTTCAAACTTTGGGAATTATTTTAAAGCTGATGATAGTTCTGCTGATTTGTATTCCAGCCTGTTAAGCATTTTAAAATGTTCAGACCTCCAAAACTTCAATTTAAGGATGTTCTTCAAAGCTGCTATGCTACAGCAGGTGTTTTATCAACGGTGTTGCCATTGTCCTTTTGCAGCGCCGAGGTTGTTCGGGAAGGAAAAACTTTACTGCCTTCCGAAATACGAAACTGATTCCCATGGAAACATCCTCATCCTCCGATGACAGTTGTGACAGTTTTGGTTCGGATAATTTTGCAAACACGGTAAGTACCGTACAAGAACAAATAAAACTGAATGCGCAGTGCTAGTAAAGCTTGCAAAACGGTAAAGCTGGTAAAGCTAGTAAATGTTCTGTGCACGATTAAAACTGCTTGCTCTGCTTATGTTTTTGTAAAGTAGTTATAAATCTATGCTATATGCTGTAATTTCATCTCACTCTTCGCTTGTGCTTCTAGGTGGTAATTGTTGGAAACAGATTAGCTATTTATTCCAGCCTTTGAAATGTCACCTAACCTAACGTGCCTGATAATTTGCAACTGCAGTTCTGAAACCCCTTGTTAAATGCCTTAAGTATTTTTTTTCATTATTAAAAAAGCTCTTTGCTTATGCTGCACTTGTAAATGTGAATAGTTTTCTGTACAATTTCAGCTAAAGGGTATTTTATTCTTCACAGAAACGCAAGTTTAGGTCGGCTGTTAGAGAGAAACTGGCAAATGTTTTTCATGAAGCTTCTGATGATGAATCCTGTGGCTTTTCAGAAAATAAGATTCAGGATGCATTGGTAAGACAGGTGACTTTGGTTTGCAATTTTAAATATAAATTCTTACACATTCTTAAATGAAAAATAATGGCGGCTTCAGACTGAGTGTCAAGTGTTGTCAGAAAGAAGCATCATCGTATTTAATGTGTGGTCTAAGTAGCCATAGTTTAGTTTTCTTTTTGTCTCTGTAAAAAGCCCCAGGCTTTTGATCTTTGCAAATTCAGAATAAAATCTGCCATACGGATTTTGAAATGGAACACCTCTTAAAACTGTCCTTGCTGGATGTTAGACTAATGTTTCTGGTTTCCTCAGTATGAAATGTTATGCTAGCCCGTGGACTCCAGCAAACCGAAGAAAAATGTGTGTGTATATTGACCTGCATTGAGATCTGCACTCTGACAGTGTAACAGAAAATGCTGTGCTTCTTTAGCAGTAGAGAAATGGTGATAGGTGGTGAAATCTGCCTTCCTGCTTTCCCTTGACATCTGTGCAAGAGCAGTTTTATTGCTTAAAAAGACCAACAGTTGGTATTTGGTAGAGAAGACAGAAGTAGTACCATGTTTGGCATAAAAAGTTTGTGACTTCAGAACATGCTGAGGAATGACTAGAAAAGAGTAACATCTGTTTGAAAGAGGATGTGTCTGAGCTAAATAATACACGACAGTAAAGAGAGAAGGTAGGAGACAAAACTGGAATACATCTGTAAGAAAAAGGAATCAATAACTACACATAATGGGCAATCAGAGTGTGGTAGGTTGATCCTGGCTGGAGGCTGGGTGCCCACCAAGCCACTCTAACACTCCTCTCCTCAGCTGGGCAGGGGAGAGAAGATACAATGAAAAGCTCACAGTTTGAGATAAGAACAGGGAGAGATCATGCAGCAATTACTGTCATGGGCCCAACAGACTCAGCTTGGGGAAAAAACTCATTCATCATGAAATCAAAATCAGAGTAAAAAGAGAACTAAACCCAGATCTTAAAGCACCTTCCCCCCCACTTCTCACTTCTTCCTGTGCTCAAATTTACTCTGCTTTTCTCTACCTCCTCCCCTGAGCAGTGCAGGGGGATGGGGAGTCGGGGTTGTGCTCAGTCCATCGCATGGTGTCTCTGCTGCCCCTTCCTCCTCAGGGGAGCATACTCACTCTGCCCCTGCTCCAGCATGGGGTTCCTCCCATGGGAGACAGTTTTCCATGAGCTTCTCCAATGTGCGCCCTTCCCACGGGCTGCAGTTCTTTACAAACTGCTCCAGTGTGGGTCCCTCCCACAGGGTGCCGTCCTTCAGGAGCAGCCTGCTCTAGGTTGGGTCCCCCATGGGGTCACAAATCCTGCCAGGAGCCTGCTCCAGCCTGGGCTTCCCACAGGGTCACAGCCTCCTTTGGGCATCCCCCTGCTCTGGTATGGGGTCCTCCCTGGGCTGCAGGTGGGTCTCTGCCCCACTGTGACCCTCTGCCGGCCTCCCCATGGTCTTCACCATGGGCTGCAGGGGAATCTCTGCTCTGGCACCTGGAGCACCACCTCCTCCTTTTCCACCTGCCTTGGTTTCTTCAGAGTTCTCTCTCTCACATCTTGCTTGTGGTCTTTCTGCAAAATCTATTCTCTTCTGGTGTTTTGTTGTCTTGCTGCTTCTAAAACATGTTACCCCAGAGGCGTTGTGACTGCAGTTGGCTCGGCCTTGGAGCTGGCTGGCATTGACTCTGTCAGATACAGGGGAAACTTCCAGCAGCTTCTCACAGAAGCCACCCCTGTAGCCCCCCCGCTACCTAAACCTTTCCACACAAACCCAGTACAGAGTTGCATACCTGGTTTAATAACAACCCCGTGCAAATAGGGATTGCCACTTGAGACTGATGGTCTGTGCATACGAAGCAGGAAGCCTGTTGTCACCTGTGACCAGAATAAGACTGTCTTATTGAGTCTAAAAGTTAAAGCCTATTGCAAAATGGGCTTTTAACTAAATAAATTAATTTTGGCCCTCACTGAACCCTTGGTTCTTGCAAAAGTTGTAAGCAAGGCATCATAAATCAAAGATTAGTAAATACTGGGATTTTATTCATAATTATTTAATTGATTGGCTTAGCAGGAAGTTTTTACTTGATACTGTTGATACTGAGAGATGACTTCCTGACAGTTTACAAAATTGGGTCTGACCCTGTGCCAAGACGTATGCGGAGGCTTTTTTGTTTTATAGCTAGTGTTGTAAAATGAAACCTTTTGAAGGCAGTTCTCTTTCTCACACACAAACGATATTTGCCATTCGACCTGCAAGCGACAGCTAGATTGCTGCAGCTGAAACCAAGCTCCTTTTTCTGATATGTTACAGCAATACAGTGTGGCTCTACCTGAGATTTTTTTATCTTCATGCCCCTCTCTCCTTCTCCCCCTTCCTCCTCCCCTCCTTAAAATTTATCAGAGCACTAGAACTGGAGATTTAAATGCACAGATTTCAGGCAGTTAGCCCCTTCAACCATGCTTAAACAAAATACTGTCAAACTGCATTTAATTGTGAAGGAACACACTTGCACTTACCTGCTTCCCTTCTGGTTTGTTAACAGAAATTGGAATCTAGTTCGGAGGAGAATGACACAAGTGCTGGGAGAGAGGTAGCTCGGAGAAGGCAGAAATGCTCTGTTCCTCTAAAAGTAGCCATGAAGTTTCCGCTTCGGAGATCGGAGAGGAGGAAGAGTGAGGTGGAACCTCTTCCTGAAAAGATAATGCCTGCTCCAGATTCAGACTCTGACTCTGAAGAAAAGGGTGCCATGTTTTTAGAAAAAAGAGCTTTAAACATAAAGGAAAACAAAGCGATGGCAAGTACTCAGTGTCTCCCTGCTCCCGCCTGCTTCTCCTCCCCCCACTCCGCCCTTGACTCTTGTGGAACCACTTTGGTTGTTCAAATTAACTCTAATGGGAATTATGTGAATGCATTAAGAGGAATTTATATTCATAATATTTAAATCTGATACTTTATGTCCACTGGCATGTGAAAATCCATGGGCTAAGTACTTCAGTAAAAATCCATAGGCTGCAAGCCTAAATAATAGAGCTTTAGCGTAATAAGTTAGAGCAGTTTCAAATTACTTGCAGTCACTAGAACATAAATAAGACATAAAATAGAAAGTTGAAGAGTGACTGCATTTCCTGTGAGTAATTGTACTTCTAGCCAGTTGTCCTAGTCTAATAGTCTGTAATAGCACATAAACACTCTTTTAATGCTCTGCTTCCTTTTTCTTTCCCTTGTTAGCTTGCAAAACTGATGGCTGAGTTGCAAAATGTTTCTGGTATCTTTGATGGGAGAAAATCATTGCCAGCTGTCAGTCATGTAAGTATAAACTTTACTGTATTTGCCTACAGATTTCTGAGAATCAAATTCTGACATTACAGAACAGGACTCTCAGTTAAAAAACTTGATAAAGTCTATAAATCAAAGTCCAGTTCAGGATTTTATTGTTTCCTAAACCAGGCATCCTCATTGTGCAATTCTCTTTTGATTTGTCACTGCGTAAAGCAGAACGGAGGAATTCATGAAGGTTAGGTGCCTCCACAGGTCAATAAAACTGAGCAGTGTGCTGTGTAAATATGTATTTATACAAAGGCTGGAGATAAGGTCGGGCACCTCAGACTCTGGAGCTCAAGCCTGAATGTTCTGTGAGTTGTTGAAACCTTGAGGGGAAAAAAACCCCTTGATATTTGGCCTAACTGGGTCCTTAAAGAAGGTTGGGTTGTGAATCAGCAGCATAATTAATTTCTCTGCTAATTTACCTGTGAGCTGTGTGAAGATGGGTGCGACAGCAGAAGTCACAACTCCTCACAGAGATGGGTTCTGCGGCTGTGCGGGGCGATGACTGCATCTTACACCTGCATGGACACAAACTTGTGTTTGGCTGTTTCTCTGCAGCTAGCAGGGTGCCCAAGATTTTGCTTAGGAGGTTCTTGTGTCTTCTGATTTGGGACAGGGTGGACACTTCATCCCTTCTGTCTTTCTCCAAGATATCTTCTGGGGGATGAATTCATAGCAGGGACAGGAGATGTCTGGGTTTTCATCTGTTTCATTAGGGGCTTTTAAACTTTTACCAGGCACCAAAGCGACTTCCAAAGCGTTTATTGCCCAGAAATGCTTTGAGGAGGAACCCAGACCGAAGTTCTCGGCCTCACACAAGATCCAGGTCCCTGATTGAAGGTCCTCCCACTCCTTTACCAGAAGAGGAAGACGATGACCGGTACATTTTAGTGAGAAGAAGAAAGATGGCTGATGAATACATGGAGGTATGTTGAGGTTCTAGATCTCCTGTTGCAGGTAGATCATGAAGTTTGTTTTGTATTCCCCTCAAGAAAATAGCAATTTACAGAGAGTTGATCAAGATTATTAGTATGCCATGGCCTGTGAAGAAGTACAGAAAATAGCATGTTGTATGTGTTCTTCATTTCTCCCTGCCTTAATCTTGGCAGTAGGAACTGAGCAATATCCAGTAGCATTTCTGTACCCTGACAGTGACAGATCAAGTGAAGGTACATCCATATCATTTTCCACCCATTCATTGTCTTTGCAAAGATCTACTATCTCTTGTTTAAATATATGGTGGGTATTTGAGGCTTTGGCATTGCTTTCAAGATCCTCATTTTGTTTATGTAGAGGGTTTTTTTCTGAAACTGTCCTAAAAGTGTTGCCTTCACTGTTCAGCATGAAGCCCAAACTCCCAGGAGGGGTCACCGTGGTGCCGTGGCTTTTCCACACGTTGTGCGCCCAGTTGAGGAGATAACAGCAGAAGAGCTGAATAATATTTGTGGATCTGCAAGGGAGAAAGTCTATAACAGGGCCATGGTAAGTATATTCCAATGTTGTGAAACACGTACGGCGTGAAGTCGTTTTCTTGTACTCCCTGCCTGTGCTTTAGCATCGCATAGAGCATGCTCCCTCGTGCTGAGAGGTGATGTTTGGGAGAAGTGTGCCAGCGATCTTGAAACATCATCTCTTACTTTGCCCTGAACTTACAGAATGGCCTTTACCAACCCAGTTAGCTTGCTTTCACCCTGTGGTAACTGTAATACCTAGGTGATACCAGCTGAGGAAAGTGATGAACAGCCACTGAAGATGCAGTGTTAAAACAGTCTTGGTTCAAACTGGCAAGGTGGCCTTCTGCTTCAGGAAAAGCATTGCTAGCTGCCAAAGAGATTGCTTGTTAAATGCCCTGTTCCCCTGAGTAAAGAACTGAGAGAAAAAGGCTGAGAGAGTTGGGCTTGTTCAGCCTGGAGAAGAGAAGGCTCCGGGGAAACCTTATTGCAGCCTTCCAGTACCTGAAGGGGCTACAAGGAAGCTGGGGGGGACTTTTTACAAGGGCCTGTAGTGACAGGACAAGGGGTAACTGGTTTAAATTGAAATCAGGGAGGTTTAGATTAGATGTCAGGAAGAAGTTCTTCACAGAGAGGGTGGTGAGGCACTGGCACAGGTTGCCCAGAGAAGCCGTGGATGCCCCATCCCTGGAAGTGTTCAAGGCCAGGCTGGATGAGGCTTTGAGCAACCTGGTCTAGTGGAAGGTGTCCCTGCCCATGGCAGAGGGGTTGGAACTAGATGATCTTTAAGGTCCCTTCTAACCCAAACCATTCTGTGATTTTACAGTCTTTAGTGTTTTGTTTCCTGAACTGTTTTCCCTGTGTTTAGGGATCCACCTGTCATCAGTGTCGCCAAAAAACCATAGACACCAAGACAAATTGTCGTAACCCTGATTGCATAGGAGTACGGGGCCAGTTCTGCGGGCCATGCCTCCGCAATAGGTATGGGGAAGATGTCAGAACGGCATTGCTGGACCCGGTAAGACGATTTTGAATATTGGTTTTGTTGTGCTTAACTTGAGTAGAGAGGTGCATTGGTTACTCATAGCGAAAGAGTTTTTTAGCAGAGGAACTGCTTACAGTGCTGTAGTACATAATGCAGCCCTGGTTTATTTCAAACGGAAGCACAGAACATTGTCTTGTGTAAATCTTATTGTAGTTACCGCTTCTGTACCTTTATTTACAGGAGTAAACTATGAGAGCAGACCAGCTGCGAAAATATTTTTGTATTTGAGCATCAGAATAGTGTTCTCTTTTAGCCTTGCATTAGTGCTTAATGCCCTATGGAAAGGAACTGTATTGTGGATGAAGTGCTGCTGTTGTGGGCTGTGGAAGCGGTGCAGGAGTTGAACAGGGGAATACTTCCAGTGGTTATGTGGAAGGCAGGCAGAGGAGAGTTGAATCCTTCAAACTGAAGAATCTGTATGCTTGCACTGGTTTAGAAGGCTTCTGCAGTGCTGATGTTCACCACAGAAATCTGTGCGGAGCAGGGCCCTCGTTTAAGGTGTGGGTGTAAATCATGTCTGGCATTCACGTTCGGTTCAAAAAGCATGTTGTCTGTCTTGTCTAGACCTGGAGGTGCCCACCATGTCGTGGAATCTGCAACTGTAGCTTCTGCAGACAGCGAGATGGCCAGTGTGCTACGGGTGTCCTGGTCTATCTGGCCAAGTACCATGGCTATGACAATGCCCATGCCTACTTGAAAAGGTAAGTGTGCCATTGTGTTAGTGGTGTGGCTCTGCTTTAAGTGGGATAAACAGCTCCAAACTGGGAGATGAGAGCTCTCCACACCCCAGTTTGTCAGGTAGATCTCAAGATCAGTCCATGTTGCCTTTAGAATATCAGACTTTGCCGTATGATTTCTCTGATATGTTGGTTCTTACCCAGAACAAGTGGTGTATCCACTCTGTCTGTTTGGCTCTCAACTTCAGCTGTTTTTATTGTCAGGGCTTCCACTAATTTGCGTAAAGGGTTTCCAAACAGTGTTTTCCTACAAGCTAACTCATGTATCTACTTGTCTTTCAGTCTGAAACAAGAACTTGGAATGGAAGACTGAAGCTGCGACTGCCTTAAAATTACGTACTGTTTCACCAATGTTATATTACTGCCTACAGTGAAGTGTTTAATCAAATGAGATTACAAAGCCAGTGCCTTCTTCCCTCCGATTTTGGGTAAAAAAGGATAAAGAACTTTTCACATATCTCCGTGTAGATCATACTTGGGAAAACCATTTAACAAAGGTCTTTGCCCACAGGCCATACTTTTCTTTTTAAACAACTTTGCAAATCAGATAGCATCAGTCCTTGCTTTCATGCCGATAACTTTTTTCCTGGAAGGAGATAGGCCTTTAGGCCATTAGTTTTATTGATGCAGTGATCTGTGCTTCAGGTTTATTTAACCTTTGAAGTTGATTGCAGAAAGAGAGATGTTCTGAAAATTCAGGGCACTTTTCCCCAGAGAACCAAGCAGGGAAAGGTATGTGCTTAACTTCAGGCCAACTTCTGCTGCAGTACAGACTTATGGAACATAAATGATCAAACAGAAGATGAAAGTTCTCTAAAACAACAATACACTTTTAAGTTCAAATGGAAGCCTTAAAAGTCACAGCTGAGCAGTCTCCAAGCACTAATATTTGGTTTTACAGAGTCCTCAAAGTGCACATTGGCCATTTTAAGAGATGTTCTCTAAGTGACTTAAAAAAATACAGCAGAAGCAATTGATGGTGGCACTTTGTATTTTTGCTCAGACGAGAGGAGTCTGCAGCTGAAAGCTTCCACAGCACCAGCTTTAGCGTTGTCTAGTGATGACTGTGATGTGAGCATACTGGTACGCATTGTGGGGTGACCACTGTGCCTACAACATAATGTACCCTTTGCTGAATTACTGATTTTTCTGAGTTCTCTGCTCCCTGCTCTTGCTGCAACTGCGGAACGGCTGCTTTGCAGAATGAGCACTGGTCCTGGAAAAGAGGGAGGCCTCCAGACCAGGGCTTGGTTAAGTAAGAGAGGCAGTGGTTTGTGGCTGTTGGCCAACTACAAGTGGATGAAACGTGGTAATGTGTTGAATTTGGTTATCAGGAAAAGGGGCAGTAACAAACAACCACTGAAATCAATAATTTCTCACTGAAGTCTGAGTTTTACTTCTGGAAAAGAAGAAACTAAAAATAAGGACTTTCTAAGCTACAGTCCAGCTTAAAGCGAGTTATTCTTCCAGTTGCATAGAGCAGCATAAACATGTTCTCAAGAGACACCCTAGTTGTAGTAACAGGTGAGGAAGAATGATTGCCTCATTAAAAAGGCTTTTAAAAATAAATAAAAAGGGAGATGTAATGGGTTGCATACAGTTTTTGAGCACTTATAAATGTAGTAAGTGCTGTGGTGTCCCCAACAGTCCAGCCGTATTTCTGTATCGGGCTCTGCGTGAGAGTGGAAGGGTATCTTGTGTGATGTTGTTAACGAAGCATGAGTACACCAAAAACAGCTGAAGGATTCTGACGTGCTGTGCGGGTGGGGTTTTGTGTACTCAGTGCTGTAGGAAAGAAGGTGCCATAAAAAGTGCATCTGGAGAACCACAAAGTGTATAAATGTGCTTAGTTTGGTTATGGAAACTACTGTGTAAGGTTTAGAATGCAATGTTATAAATAATGCACAGTTGAGTGGAAGCATCAACTTGCTTTTATTGAGCACTAGGACGAAATGTGGGTTTAAACTTCTCTGCTTGCACAGTATTTGCACTCTGTGTATACATAAGGATCCACAGCGTGTACCTTTCTGGGGATGACATCAGTGCATGTGAGAGGGGAGGAGAGAGGAATTTAGAAACAAAAGGTATTTGTGTCTCGGAGTTACAGTTCTGTTTAATAAATTATCTGTCCCATTGGTAATGTCCTTTCCTCTCTTTGTTTCTGTAGTGTGAATAGCTGTGCAATCTGAGGTGGAGAATGCTCTACCCTTCAGGTACCTTTCTGAGGGAGCTCTAAAAATACATGTTCTGACAGATAAGAGGGATTTTAATTTTTTTAAATCATTTTATTTTTTCCTAATTGCTGGACATGCCTTCTGATTGCTAGAGTGTGAAAAGTCTGTGCTAAAAGCAAACCCTTGCGTCGTATTACAAAGCCTGCTGTATGTAGACTTACTCAGATCTGCCATGTTCTGTACAAAGGTTTTTATTTTGAAAATAAAGGTTTTCTGTGTTAGATTTCTGTTGCCTCTTAATTGTTTATTAAAAGCCCATTAGAGCTGTACTTGGATTTATACCACCTTTCGGGCAAACTTCAGTTGAGAAGTGAAGGAGTTGGTTGCTCCCGTTGTGCCTTGGGGAGCAGTGGGACTAGGACCTGTTTCTCTCCCCAGCACTGCGTTCTCTGAACCAGGCTTGCTCTGGGATTCATGCTGCTTGGGTTGAATTGTCTGGTATGTGATGATTAAGTTGTGATGGTAGAAATATATAGGCGTTGAGTTCAGGCCAGTTACAGACTTCCAAGCAAATGTGCTGTGTGCTTACCCTTCTGCTTTTCTTCTACGTGCTTTGAAACTAGATGCCTACGTCTTGAACTGAGAAGGATGAAGAGGATATTGCCATTTCGGACAGAAGTTGGAGGGAGGTGCCTTTCATGACGCGTGTGTGTGTGTATATATATTTAAAAATCTCCCCCGCTCCCCCAAACCAAACTCTTAAGTAACTTCCGTCAGGAGCTCTGCTGGAGCAGACAGTTACCTGAAGGTCTTTGGTTGCAGGCTGACAGCCCTGTTTTTGATACTTGTGCTGCTTGCTTTTGCGTCAGTGTAGCTGGATCTGGAGAGAGGAGCTACAGGAGACTCTGGCACGTTAGACAAAGCTGGCCTGTAGTGAGAAGAGACAGAAAAGAAGTGATCAAGCAAGAGTGACTGACCTGTCCACAGGTATTCTTTACTGGTAAAAACCTCACATAACTCGCCTAAAAGCTTGCTTTAGATGCATTACCTTTCATCACACTGCTGGTGATGTGAGAATAAATTTGTATGTAACAGTAGTATGTTAGTTAAAGACTTACATGATGCCTGGTATCTCAATACAGTTTTTCCCCAAGCCTCTACCACAGCTACTTAATTACTGTTGCTATTAACTTGACAAATGGCTAAAGAACTTGTGGTTTTCATCTGCAGCAAATGGGCAGCAATTTAAGAAACAATGAGGAAAAGCAAAGATGTGTGGAAATAGGAGAATCACTGTTAAAGGAAGAATAGAAGAACGAAGCTCATGCGTGAGGTAGAATGACTGTTAATTATTAAGACTGTATGAGTTGATATTCCCTCGCTTCTCTCAGCTTTAGGGACAGACGATCTTGGGCCTAGGTCTGATGTAACTTTTCTTTAACCAGCTATAGTAATTTATAACTGCCAGAAGTAGAATACTGAAACAACCAATAGGCAAATTACATTCTTAAATTCCTTGGACCTCTGTTACCTGTGCTGAGAGGTGGATGGGAAGCTCATTTTTTGCTATATAATAGTTTGAGTGAAGTCACTATGCCAGAAGGGCGCATGAGCTTTTTTTTTTTAAGTTAAGTATGTAAATAAACCCCCAAGCTTGCTTATGACTATATTTTTCATTACAGCAATACAATATCTACTGGTGGAATTGGCCAAAACCTCCTTACTATCAGAAGATTCTCTTAGACTAGTGTATACTAATGTTATTTGCTTCTTCCCTGTCTCACTTTCTTTTTAATTAAGCCAAATGTTGAAGCATTAGGTCTCTTCAAATCTTGAGAGGATTTTTGTCTTCCTCGCCTATTAAGCAAACTGTTGTTTTCATTACATGTAAGTTTCAAAAATAGCATTGAAGTGTCTCTTCACAGGCTGATGAAGTAGCATACACTGTACATTGCACAGCAACACTCAGCTGCTTAACCAGCTATGTTACTGCAGGGAGCTGCAATGGAAACTTTAAAAATAGGCATTAGCTTTGGAAACTATACCCTCTCCCTTCCTACCCTCATGGCTAATACACCTTTTATTTTATGTGCCAGAAACCCTGAAAACATTTTAGAGAGAGGCAAGGAAGTGGTAACATAACAAAACAGCAGCTTCATTTGCTTGGGTAGGCTCATGGGATCAAAAAGGGTTGCATCTACTCAGAGTAGCTTTCAGTGATCCTGGGTGAGGGGAGGCAGCTGACTTTGAAACCTTATCTGTAATACACGATGTGCATCTGAAACACTTGGCAAGAGAGTCACCCACTGACCTCTGCTGGCATAAACCCGTTCGTTCTCTTCAGGCTTTGCTTGCTTGTGCAGTTCTTGCGTGGCTAATGGCAATAGCTAGTGTGGAGATTCTGGAAACGCTGCCTGTCCTTGCATGTTGATGGCCTTGCGACTGCAGGGGAGTAAAAGATATCTCTGTCAGGTACAGGCTGGCCAGTCTGCAGGGGTCCTGAACTCAGCACCTAGGTAATGCTGGGCCGTGATAGGTGCACATGAGTGTATGGGTTCCAAACCCTGAGAGGATGGCATCGCATTTTCCTGCTTGGGCCTCACCCTTCTTCCGAATAATAAACCCAGGGGGTCCCAGTTGGGTGTTAGAAAAACCCCACAAACACTTTGGGGTGGGGTACAAATGGTAGGGGAAATGTATGTTTGAAACCAAAAAGTGTAATGATCAGTGCTAGTGGTAGGAGTCCTGAAACTGGGAGTTGAGGGGGGAATTGGGAGTTCTCTTTGACTGATATTTGTATGAAAGCATTCCTAGAGTGTAAAGCTGCAGCCACATTAAAGATTGCTGTGTGGTACAGGCTTTCTTCCAGCTAGGATTGATTGGACTCTGGTTGCAAGGATGGCAGGCAGTTCTGTTACCTGAAAAAAATAAACCAGGAGTCATGGTACAGTCAGGATGGAGTGAGAAGGCATCACATCTGTCTTAGTAGTACTTTAGTAGTAGTTGTGCTGATCACTTGAACTAGGAAAAGAAATCAGTTGAGCTGTAGATCCTGTGGTGTTGAGCCCTATTCATACAATCTTTTCCCTGGAGTATGTCTATAGGAAAAATTTACATCTACTCCCTAAAATGGAAACAAAATATTGCTGAAATTATAGGTTTGTGTTTGGGCTCAAATTAGCTTTATAACCTTACCTATCTGTTAATATCATAGCAGTCAGGGAGAATCAAACTGTGTGCTGGGCTGTGTCAAGAGCTGTAAGTAACAGGAGGCT